ATGCTTCATCCACAAAGGCATTCTGCCTCTCTGTTTGTTGTTAAAAGCAAGATCAGCATATAGAGGACTGAGCAGGGCAAACCTAAGCAGTCAGAAAGGCAGGGAGAGCCAGCTCTGAGTGGCTTATGATTGCTAAATTTTCAATGTGAGCATTTACACCTCAGAAATGGACACTACAAATAAGAGTTTGATTTATTTTGTTAATTGCCTAGACTTGTTAATAATGCAGATTAAATTTAAAATCCCTCCCCACCCACCCCAAGATCCCAGTTGGTGAAACATTTACCAGCACCCTCCTGGATTGCTCCATAAACATTGCTTGAGCTCAGCAGGAGTGTAATGGAAGGCTCAGGGAATGCAGTCATCTCTAGATTGGAGGCTAATAGTCATTCTGAGGACTGGCATTTATATAACACTTTAAGGTTTGCCAACAGCCACTTGGTGACACAGTGGATAGAGTGCCAGGCCTGGAATCAGGAAGACTCATTTTCACGAGTTCAAATCCAACCTCAGACGCTTCCTAGCTGTGTGACCCTGGGCAGGTCACTTAACCCTGTTTACCTCAGTTCCTTCATCTGTAAAATGAGCTGGACAAGGAAATGGCAAAGCACTGCAGTATCTTTGCCAAGAAAACCCCAAATGGGGTCACAAAGAGTGGAACACAACTGAACAACGTTCGCAAAGTGTTTACATCCGTTGTACTACCTGAGCTTCTCAACACCACTGGGCTGAAGGTGATCGGCAGCTTCTCTAGGTCGGTTACTGTCAGCTGTGCTCCGGGGGGCAAGGTAAGGGAATACAGCACTTAACTATGTGCCAGGCTAAGCACTCTTTACAAATATTATCTCCTATGAGTCTTACAACAACCCCAGGAAGTAGATGCTATTCTTATCCTCATTTTACAGCTGAGGGAAACCAAGGCAAAGAGGTTACATGAGTTCCCCGGCATCTGAACTCAAGTCTTCTGGATGCCAGGCTCATCACTCTATCTCGTATGCTATCAGCTGCCTGTGTTGGGAGGAGTGGAGGGGAGAGGGAAAGAGGGGGAGAGAGAGAGAGAGGGGGAGAGAGGGAGGGGGAGAGAGAGGGAAAGAGGGAGAGAAAATGAGAGAAGGAAGAGGAGAGGGGGCAGGATGGATGGATGGATAAGAAAGGGGAAGAGAGAGGGAACTGGGACAAAGATGAAACTCTTTTTCAAGCCTGACAAGTACACCTCAGAAAAAAACCCAGTGGCTTAGGCCCCCGTTCTCCCTCTCTTCCTAGAAGGCAGCAAAGCCTCCTAGCAGGTATGACAAAACTTCAGAGAAACCCAGCTTAGATGAGGATTCCTCAGTCCCTCCAGAGGGTAGTGGGGAGAACTCCCTGCCTACCCTATAACTGAATTCATAGGGAACTTAACCCTCTGTGGGGCTGATTGAGCTTCAGAGCTGTCAACCACGTGTCTGCAGCTTCTGGGGGTGGAGGGATGTAGTATGACTGGTCATTCAGCAAGTACGTCTGTCTTCCATGAGGCACGTCCTTTCCCAAACCAGGCGTTCCACTTACCTTTCCACACACTTTAGAGCTGGGCCCACCAAGCCCCAGCCCATCATGGTACAGCTGAGGAAAGAGGTCCAGAAAGAAAAGAGGGTTGCTCTGAGTCAAGCAGCACGTTGGTGGTGACATACACCTGGACGTAGCAATGTCTCTAGACTATCACTAACTTGCTATCTTTACCTATTGAGCACCGTGGCTCTTCGGTATCAATTTGCTTCATAGGATCACGGATTTAGAGTCGGGAAAGACCTCAGCCATCACCCACTCCAATCCCCTCGTTTTAGAGATGAGGCACTTGAGACCCATGGGGGTTAAGTGACTTGTCCAAAGTCATATAGGTAATAAATTGCAAGGGTGGGATTTGAACCCAAGTCCTTTGATTCCAGAATTGGTGCTATTTCCTATGAACTAGTTTGGTCACCAGGGTGGCTTTCTCCTTTTCCTTGAGTTCCTTAATGAGAAAGTCCCCTTAAGGTGGGAAGATGCTGACGTACTTTCAGTATTCAGAGTTTATGAGGACTGGGTGACAAAAAGAGGGCATTCACAGGGCCAATCATAGGATCACAGCTTTAGAGCCAGAAGAGACCTTAGAGGTGATCTAGTCTGAGCCCTCTTCATTTTACAGATGAAGAAACTGAGGCCCAAAGAGCTTAAATGATGTGTCCAAGATCACCCAACTAGTGTCAGAGGTCATATCCCTGAGTAGATGCCCACCTCCTTTTAGTCCCCCTGAAGCTTTTTTCTTCGACCCCTGCATTCATGTAGTCAGGACCAGCTTTCAGCAAATTGAAAAGTCAGACAAATCTGTCTTTGGGACTTTCCCCTCCCTCCTGTGTCTCACTCCATATTTGATTCTTATTTGTGTTTGGCTAATCACTATTACTAGGCTCACAGATAATTAATGTGCCAGCTAATAACAAAGAATGCCCTGCCCAGGAATGTTTGCGTTTAAAGGGGGATTCTTTAAGACTCAAAGGAACAAAGGCAACAGGGCCACCTTTATTCTGGTGCTGGACACTTGGTATCCTTTTGGATTATTCTGCAGGCACCATTCTACCTGTGATGTCTGCCCTGCTTCCACTCATGTCCTCTAAGTGCGGCTCCTTTCACTGCTCTAAGGCTCATTCTAGGTGGGGAACTCCATGGTGTTTTCAGGTGGGCTTTATGGCGGCCACTCCCCTGCCCAGAGTCAGATGACTGTAATAGTTGTGATTTTTAGCCTTTCATTTTCAAAACCATACTATACACCAATTATATGTCTGGGCTATGGCCCTGGACTCACTCACCAGATACTTTCTCCTAAAGTCAGACTTCTGCACAATGTCATTGGTGGCTGGTATGACCTCTCTTCCCTAAACCACTATAAAGAGTGGTCTGGAAGTGGGGATAGATTAAAGAGCCTCTTCTCCATAGTAATGTCAAAGATAAAGTTTATTTCCTTTTGTTTTTTTCAGCGGACCCAGGAGTCAGTCCCATTCAGCAGTCCACCTCTGTGAAGTTAAGCTGCCTGTCTCTTGTTTCATTTCAAAGCTATATATGTATATATGTTTTATAGTTATGTATAGATCGGAAAAGGAAACAGGAAAATAGAAAGACAACAGCCACAGGAAATTGCCCCCCCCAACCCCCTCCCCCCCAAAGTCAAATACAACAGAGCCAACTTCAGATAAGAACTGTACAAAGTAAGAGTTTGGTTTGAGCTCCTGTTATGACATCAGACCACTAAGAACACCATCCCCAGCAAAGACACTCACACCAAAGCTTTACTGATTACTTGCCCCCTTCAGGGATGGATTAACTGGGCAAATCGACTGTACTATAGACCAAGGCAGAAGGAGGAGAAGAAAGAAAATCAAGAATACCAAAAATGGTGAATCTTTCATGTCCTTCGAAACCTCTTCTGTGGAATTAAAAGCCTTCTGGGAAAGAGAGGGAAATATCTTGTCACGGTACACACAATATTTATAAACCAATCACAACTCTTAAAACTTGCCCTTTGCGAAGAGCATGTCTTCTAAGTATAAGTTTTAATCGAGAGTTCAGTGAGAAGTGCCTTCTCTGCTTGTGAGCAGACTGTCTTCCCCAAATCCTGGGCAGCATGGTCTTGAAGGGGAAAAGGAAATTGTCTCTCAACAGATTGGCTTGAGCCAGAGACAGAACTGGGGGCATCCAGAGAGAAGCTCGGGGGACATAGGTTTTCCAGGGAGTCTAGTCTCCTGTATCTTTTCTAAAATATAGTTTAACAAAATGCCACCAAAGAGTAAGTATTGCCTTTTACTAAACAGAAAATGATTGGAGACTTATACAAATGTCTGCTTTCATTGGAGGTTAAGTGACTGGCCCATCATTAGGATTAGGGGATTTCTCTAATCAGTATGTTAGATGTTATTAAAACTGATTTCTTTCTTCCCCTAGACATGGAGGATGTTGGTGTTGGTGTGTGTTGAGGTTAAAAATACTTGTGGAGGAAATTGTTGGAATTGGGGATCTGTTGAGAGACAATTTGGAATAGATCCTGTTGTTTATGCCTGCAGATCAGTGTTCAATGTGGAAGGTGGGTGGGAGGCAGGAGAATGGGCCAGAATGGTTTCTGGCATCTGGGACAATGACTTAAACTCCAAAGACTGTTCTAGCAGAGAGGCGGCTATGTCAACCAGCAAGAGCCCATCTCATTTTTCCCAAGGAGGCCTGGGTGTGTGTATTTGTGTGTGTGTGTGTGTGTGTGTGTGTGTGTGTGTGTGTGTGCGCGCATGCCTGACTCAGGAAGCCTTTGGGCAAATTTGGGTCATTTTTTTTTAAAGCACTATTTTATTTTTGTGTGTATCTCTGTACGTGGGAGCAGGACAAGAGTCATACTCATCATTATTATTGATTACAAATTAGGTGGTGTTTTAATATCCTTATCCTCATTCTCTCCTTCCTCCTGCATCCTGCTCCCTTTCCACCGATGCTGTCATACAAGGCCAGAAACTACTTTGGATCCAAAGAGAGCTAGGGTCCCAAGAAGATGGGAAAATAATGATAAGAGGAATACCTTCATGCCCATTGGGGGCTGGAGGAGGATATATTTCTAATTGCCAGTACCAAGTCCTTCAAACCTCAGGCAGCCATTTGATATATGAGACAAGCCACCCAGTGTGATGACATTCAGGACAGTTCTGGGAGCCAGAGACAGTCCGGTACCAAAATTTCTAATAAAATGGAGGTAATGGCTTAAATTACCTTAATTCTTGGGTTTCTCCCTCCCCCATCCCCACAGCTACTCTCACTCTATGACTGTCATCTCTTAGCTGGAATTTAATCACTTTTGTTTCTGAGGCTCATCCTGAAATGATGACCTTTCCTGTCTGACTGCCCCATATCACAGGGACCTTTCTCTCCTCTTATCTTCCTACGGTTTGTACTCCTCATTGGGTATGAAACTCCTGCATGCTTCTGTTAGTTATATTGTCATGTGCCCTGTGTCCCCAACTAGACTGTCAACTTTTGGAGGGCAGGGAATGCGTTTTCTATTTGTGTGTGTGTGTGTGTGTGCCCTTTACAGTGCCTAACGCAGAGCTGGACACACAGTAGCGGCTAAGGAAATAGTTTGCTGATTGACTGAATGACTTGTTCTGGTGCTGGATCAGTGAACTAACAAAATACATCCATCATCTCAGAAGCTCTCTCAGTCAGCCCCCCTAGTGGATTCCCCAGTGGCCAACCTGTTTTTCAATGTCCAGAGGATGGACTGAAGGCTCCCAAGTCAGAGAATGACGGAGCTGAAAGGAACCTTAAATACCATCTAGTCAAAGCCTCTGTTTTTGCAGGTGAAGAAACTGAGGCCACGACATGCCTGTGGTCACATAGTGAGTTGGTGGCAAAGCTGGGCCTAGAACCCAGATCTCAAATTCCCAGTCCAGTTCTCCTTTTGCAGGGCCAGAGCAGGGGGTTAGGACGGGGCTCAGACGTCAGTGCTGATGCTACGGCTTCGGGAGAAGGCTTCCCGCATGGCAGAGAGGCGGTTGGGGTTGAGAGCCTGGAGTCCGCCAAAGGTCACTGGCAGCTCTATGTCTTCCTGACTGATGTTCTTATAGTTGATGCGCTCCCCTCCATTTCGAACTTCCTCAGGATCCTGTAGGAAGAACGTCGGTGGTTCGTAGTGGGAGCAGCTGGGGCAGACGGAGTGGCACTGGGGGGATTTCTGGTTGAAAGATGAGGAGGAAGATGGATAGAGTGAGGGCCCATTAGTCAGTACGATGTTTCGGTTGGAGTGGAGGGGTGGGACGTGAGAGTGGACAGCAAAGTCAGGCTCTTCCTCATCCTCTTCTGACTCATCTTTCTTGCAACAGTAATACTGGATGCAGAAGGAGAAATAACACTTAGTGTTTTTAACAAAAGTATTTTCACATTCCTCATCATATCTGACTCTCACAACATCCCAGTGAGGTTGGCAGGTGTTATCATGCCCATTTTAAAGTCCAACATCTTCCCTCTTTTATCACTAACTTTACAGATGGGAAAACTCACGTGGTGAGACAATGGCCAAGCTGGGCATCAGGCTGGGACCGCCTGTCTTGTACAGTCTTTGAGGCCCGGCCTCCCCTTTCCCAGCTTCTTTTTTGGATTCCAATAGGGGTCCCTTCTGCAGAAGCTAGGAGTAAACTGAGCTGGGGAACATAGCTTCACCCAATCTAATCCAATTCAAGCCAATTCAGGAAGCATAGATTATTACTGTACCTGAAGCCTACAGTAACATAGGACTGCGATGATGCAGAGCAAAATAACTGTTGCTAATATTCCACCTGTGATGACCACGGTCCCGGCTGTCATTCGCCCGCTTCTCCATTAACTGCCTGAAAGACACAAGCAAGCTTTGAAATGCACAGAAAGAAGTTACTAAGCTGGGGAAGACTGGGTTAGGGGGAGCAGAGAACAGGCATATTAACCAGAGCCTCTCTAAGGGTCTATAAGTCAGAAGGAAAATGCCCAGAGCTCAGTCAGGACTTTGGGGGCCCTAAATAGTCAGGCACCCAAGAAGGCAGCCAGTGAGGGAGGAAAGGGGGTAACTTTAAAGGGGGCCATAGGATTTGGAGTTGAAAGAAGCTCACAGTTTCAATTCCCTTATTTTTCAGAAAAGGAAACTAAGGTGAAGTTCCATGCCAAAGGTCACACAGCTAGTAAACACATCATTTGAACCCAGGTTTTCTGATTCCAAATCTATCATTCTGACTACTACATTAGGCTGCTTTAAAAAGAAAAAAAGAGTTGAAGTTCACATAGATCCAGTCATCAAAAGGCAAAGTGGATCCTACCCCTTCTCCTTTGGCCATGCCTTCTCCCCTCAGGCTCTCCTTTGGAAGGAAGGAAATATACATTTATTAATCACCTACTATGTTCCAGGTGGCTCAGTGCCTTACAAATATTACCTCATTTGATCCTCACAACAACCCTGGAAAGTAGAGCCATAATCCCATTTTACAGTTGAGGAAACTGAGGAAGAAAGAGGTTAACTGATTTGCTCAGGGTCACACTGCAAGTAAATGTCTGAGGCTAGATTTGAACTCAGGGCTTCCATTATGCCACCTAGTTTCCTCTAGCTCTTAGGTAGTACTCTTCCTTCAAGCAGCCTGGACAAATTTTGAGGGCACTGGGGAAAAGGGTCAGGAGCCCACAGGGATTCAGTTCTTACATGTCTCTGACTGACTTGTGTCTTGGTAAATCTGGAGAAGGATGGTGTAAACCAATGGTTGACTGGGGGCCAAAGGCTTATTTTATTTAAAGCGTCTGTATGTTTGTTTTTTAAAGGGGAGTGTGATGGATGTTTGGATCCAGGAAAATCACTTGGTGCATTCATTTCCAAATCTGGGAAACTGGGATAATAAATCATCTGTGCCTTCCCACATCACAGGGAATGATGAGGACAAGCGAGGGAATTCATGTGAAAGAATATTTAGAACCTAGTCACTAAGGCAATCGACTATTATCTGTGGTTGAAAATGGGTAAAATTGGGGAATCTGGTTAATTTCACCTCTGATTCATATTGTTCTTTACCCTCTTAAAAGTACTTCCATACCCATTATCATATTCAATCTTCACTACAGCCTTTTGAGGGAGGGAGGGCAGGAATCATCAATCCCAATTTAAAGAGGCCCAGAGAAATTAGGCGATTTGCTCAAAGTCATTCAACTAGGAGATGACAGAATCAAGGCCAGAATCTGGGTGTCATGACAGAGCCATCTCTCTTGCTCTCCAAGGCTCCTATTTGTACCTTTTTGTTTGGACCTCTTCTTTTTCTCTATGACACTCTCCCCTCCTTCCCTTAACTGATAAACTCTTTGAAGGCTGGGACTGACATGGAAAGAGTACTGGATTTGAAAAGAGACCTGGATTCTAATCCTGGATCAGACGCCTACCAGTTGTGCAACCCCAGGTAAGTCACTTCTTCTTTGTGAACCTTGGTTTCTTGATCTGTAAAATGGTTATGATAATAATATGTATATGCTATTAACTTCAAGGGGTTGTAGGGAAAGCTCTTTTTGTAAACCTTAAAAAATTATATAGAAATATGAGGCTGGTAGCATTGATGTTTTTCATTTCTAGATTACCAGAGGACAGCACCAGGTTTAGCGCATTGTAGGTGCCTAATAAATACTGTTGAATTCTTTGCTGAATGTGAGTCCAGGCTTCAGGACTTTGCTAGCCAGTGGGTAGCAGGAAATGGCAGTCCCAGATAAAGAAGTCCCATATAGCCCCAAATACCTATAGGCAGCACTTTTTGTAGCAAAAAGAACTGGGAAAAAGTAGATTCCCCTTTGATTTAGGAAGGACTAAGGAAGTTGTGATATGTGAAAGTAATGGAAAATTACCATGCTATGAGAAATGGTGAGTGTGAAGAATTCAGGGAATCATGGCAAGATCTATAGAAATTGATGAGACTGAAGTAGCATAGTCAGGAAAAAAGCATTCATAATGACTACAGGGTACATGGAAAGCATGAGGACGCTGAAAGAAAGAGAAAAAGAAAGAAAGAGAAAAAACCTCAATGCTTGGGAATTATGATGACCAAGCTTGGCTCTGATGGAGAGATTTGTGAATGTATCTCCCTCCTTTCTTTGTCGAGGTAGGGGCCCATGGGTGTGGAACACTGTATCTATCTATCTATCTATCTATCTATCTATCTATCTATCTATCTATCTATCTATCTATCTATC